AGGCCACTATGGGACGACAGACCTGCAGCCACGTCATCCCCATTGGCCCCAGCTGACGTTGGGCCAATTGCCGAGATGTCAACAAGGCCACCCTAGGCCCTGCAGTCCCAGCCGAGCTGTAAGCTGACTCCAGAAATCAGCCAAACCAGTCCAGTTCAAAACAACTACCTTGCCCTAGCCGGTCTGGCTCAGTGGCTGGAGCACTGGCCCTCAGACTGAAGGGTCCCGGATTCTATTCCTGTCAAGGGCACACACCTCGGTTGCAGGCTCAATCCCTGACCCTGGGGGGAAGGGGGTGCATGCAGGAGGCAACCAATGCTGTCTCTCACATCGATGTTTCTCTCTCTCTCTGTCTAGTCCCCTCCCTGCCACTTTAAAAATAAATAAATAAATGGGAAAAAATATCCTAGGGTGAGGACTAACAAAACATAACAGAAGAGCTACCTTGCTGCCCAACAGAATCACAAGAAAAAGTCAAAGTTTATGGTTTGCTTTAAGCCACTAAGTGTTGAGGTGGTTTTGTTACACAGCAAAAACTGATACAATCCTAAAACAAAACAAAACAGAAAAATTAAGGGCAATAAAATGACTCGGTTTGACTAGGGGATCTCAACTACCACCGAGTGCTGAGGGTCTTTGGTCTCTTTTCCTCAGACTTGGGAGGGGATCCTCCCTCATCTCAACCCGTGAGAATCAGAGGTAGACCAAGTCTCCTGGGGGGAAGAGGGATGAGGAGGAGGAGGAGGGAAGAGGAGAAGAAAGAGATTGGAGGGGAAGAGTAGAGCACAAGAAGAGAAGAGGGTAGGTTTTAGGGGGAATTTTAAGGAGCTCCCAGAGTCAATACACAGGCTATGGCCCTGAGCCCTGAGCCCTGCCCCCAGGTGCCGAGTCCTAACCCAGGCTCGCTCACAGGAACCATCTCTAAAGCAAGGGGTGAAGAGGAACTAAGGTACCACCCAGCCCTCTCCCACAGTCTACCCCAGGAGACCAGCCTGGAGAGACCCCTTGCTTGGCATGGGGGTTCCTGGGCCACGGCCCCTGCCCTCTCCCAAGGACCAGTCCTGGCAAGATGCTTTGGGACAGGGACCCAGAGCACAAAGGATCTGCCAAAGGTGTAAGGTCCCAGAGAACTTGTTTGGGAGCAGCAAGCTTTGTCCCTTCCCAGGATAACTCCTTTAGCACACAGGGTTTTGACCCAAGTTAATAAGATGTAAACTCCAGGTCAGAGGCACGTGCGATCCTGCCAGTGGAAGGTTTATCTGACCTCACACCCATACACTTGCCAGCGTGTCAGAGCTGACAAAGCCACTATTCCCATTTTTCTAGGTGTGAGTTTGCCAGAGTTGGAGTCCCAATTCCCATTCCCTAGATGGCAAAACGCGGGCTGAGAGAGAAGTGACTTGTCTAAGATCCCAGAGGAAGCAGGCAAAGCTGGAGGAGGTTTGAATGACAGCCGTGACCGTCCCCTGTATTAATCGAGGCCGGAGACGGGACCACACAGCTCCAGTGGCCCCAGGGCCCCGCCTTGGGAAAGCCGTACTTCCCGAATCACCAGGACCCACGGCTGGTGCAGGGAGAGCTGTGCCAGCACTCATTTCCCGTCAGGCCCTGTCTCCACCTGCCCCGGGCTCTCCGGGGTTTCTCTGGTCCTGCCAGGGGTGCAAGGTCCCCAGGGAACTTGGCTGGGAGCATCACGCTTTGTCCCTCCCCAGGGTAATTCCTCTCCCGGGTAAACCAGGACTATAAGCTTGAACATTTCCCAAGGACGACTCCAAAATAAATTATTTCAGACTTACCAGAGGCCCCTTAATAAATTCCACTCTTCTGGTTTCTTTGGGTATTTTAGAAGCTGATTTATACATACAATATCTCTCTCAAAATGAGACAATCAACACAGGATAAAATTATTGAGTTATGAAAATAGGGGTCAGATGGAGGTGCAGCGCTTTAAATTAAACCGGCAAAATATATCTTTCATACTAAATTGACTCTTTTTGTCTTGGAAATGAATGTTTAATCAGTTAAGACACAGAAGTCGAGGGAGAAGCCTTCAGCAGATTTAATTCTGTAAAGGGGCCCTGTTCCACCACTGTATAGGATTCCCGCCCGCAGCCATGCCTTTAGAGCAGAAGGACCGACTCCCATGCAGGTCAGGAGGCCGCTAGGG